GTTCCAACCTTATTCATCTCTCTTTCTTTAAAAGATTTTGGAAAGTCGTGGCTCAAGTTTAATAACCACCTTTGTGCTATCAACTCCTGGATCTTTAACTATAGTCAGGATTTTTTCACTGAGCTGCGGATTTATATTTCTAATCGCTGTCTGGACATCTTCATGGCATGTTCCACAAACACCTCAACTGGAAAATGATCAAATTAAACTCATCATTTCCTCCCAATAACCAGATCATCCTGTTCCTCTTCATATCTGTATTACAGTACATAGACCCACTCACCATTAAAAAAAAAGATTTATTTACTTTACTTGAAAGTCAGAGTTACAGAGAGGCAGAGGCAGAGACACAGAGAGAGAGAGTCTTCTACCCTCTGGTTCACTCCCCAGTGGCCGCAATGGCCAGAGCTGGGCCACTCCGAAGGCAGGAGCCAGGAGCTTCTTCTGGGTCTCCCACATGGGTGCAGGAGCCCATGGACTTGGGTCATCTTCTACTGCTTTCCCAGACTATAGCAGAGATCAGAAGAGGAGCAGCCAGGACTTAAACTGGCACCCATATGGGATGCCAGCATTGCAGGCATAACCCCTTTGGTTCCCCTACTTACCTTCTTACTGGCAACCTTGAGCATATTTGAGGTATGGTTTCATTACTCAATCCAATCCTGCTTGCTTTTGGTCTTTGTTAATTTCTCCTAGGTTTGTTGCTTATGGATTTGAGATATAAGCAAAAGGCTGTGCATGAAAATAGTTCATCATGTTGAATTGTAACAAATGTTATTATATTTTGGTGCAATTGAATTTTGTGATAAGATAAATTCACATTCAACAAATGTCACAAAACAAAGGAATAATTTTTTATTGTTGACATTTGACATTTCAATGTTTTATAATTTTTACTTATTAAAATATTTTATAATTGTTTTATTTTCTAGGTAATAGTTTTAGCAAAATAGAGGTCCTACGTTTAGAAGCAGGGGCTGGTATGGTAGCATAGTGGATTAAGCCCCCATTTACAATATCCGCATCCCATATGGGAGCACTGGTTCGAGTCTCAGCTCCTTAGATTCTAATCCAGCTCCCTGTTATTGGACTTGGTAAGGCAGTAGATGGCTCAAGTGCTTTGTTCCCTGCCACCCACATGAAAGACCCAGATAAAGTTCCTAACTCCTGGCTTCAGCCTGGCTGAGCTGCAGCTGTTGCAATCATTTGAGGAGTGAACCGACAGATGGATGGAAAACCTCACTCCCTCTCTCGTTGTCACTCTGCCTTTCAAATAAACATAGTAAATATTTTTTAAAATATATAGAAGCAGGCAGTTTCTAGGTATGTGCCACACAAAGTTTTATGAAATCCATATATGTATAGTTGTAGAGAGTTGTAGAGAGAATGGTCAAGGCTACAGTGAATTCACACTGGTGTATTAATTTGGCAAGGTTAGAAAAATCTGTACACCAATGATGCCATGTTCTGGGCAGGCAGGCAGGCTTACGTTTTCACTGCTAAGTCATAATGCATTTTGTTTTACAATTAGAAGCACATCCAATTATACCCACACTCACTTCTGTAACCCTTGAGCACACACGTACATGTACATGCACACAAGTACACCTTCCTCCTTACATATTTGCCCAAACCTCCCTGCCAATATATATCTCAAGAGCATCTAAAGAACCCCAAACAGCATGAGATTTATGAATCCAGTACAATATCACTGCTTGCCAGCCACCAGCATTGGCACTAGACTGTAATCTTGTACTTAGTTGTGCTACCACTCCTTCATAATAAAATAGCAAATTGAAGTGATTTTCAAATAGTGTGGCAGACCAAAGGGAAATCTTTTCTGCTTCTAGTAAGCATAGAAGGCTATTAATGAGCCATGGACGGCTCCCCTACTACGCAATGCATTTAGCCACTTCCTACTTTCTGTGCTCACAGAAGCTGCGATTATCAAATTCTAAAGCAGTAGTTTGAAAAATGACTTCACTTTTGAGAATTTATGGGCTATATACATTTATATATTTTATTTCTGCTTGCCATGGGGAGTTGAGTGCCTGCTATTGACATAAAGTTTATAAAGCACTTCAAGCTTCTGGGAGAGTAGGGATATGATTACAAAGAAGAGTAAGAATATTAAAGGAGGGTAAGATGGGAATAGAAACCCTATTATTTCTTCTATTCATACCACATTTTCTTTTGCATTTTAATCTTATGATATTTGTTTTCATATAAACCCTATGTGCAGATGGGACATATTACACGTGGTGGGATGGATTTATAAGGGAAAGTAGTAAGCAATTTAATAAAAAAGTTTTTATAGTAGATGAAAGAATGGCTCTTTGAATCACAGACTTAGGTTTTAACCCCTGCTCTGCCACTTATAATGTGCTATACATTATTCTATAAACTTTACACTAATCAACTCCATTAGCCCTTATTACAATTGTATGACAAAGATATTATTAATATTCTCCTTTTACATATGGGTTAGCAGAGGTTTAGAGAAGTTTGGGAAGTGCTTAGTTGAGTCACACAGCCAGTAAGCAGCAAATCCAAGATTAGCTAATTAGCTGATTAGCAGTTTTGGCAGCCACTAAGAGTTGGTCATTTACTGCTTTTCAGTTGCTCTGGTAATGTCTTAATAAGATGGTACATAATAAGAGCTAAAAATAATAGTTCAAAATTTGTTATTAAATACCTCTTATAAACATGTCATAAAATGTTTATAAGTAAATATTATGCTTTATTATTATTTCTTTAAATTTTGTATTTTAGTTGATTAGTAATTCAGCAGAATAAGAAGCATATCTGAATCTAAAATTTCTCATCTAAATTGCTTGTGGCAGTCATTTGATCCAATTCTCAGCAGCAACTTCAATTGAGCATCTGTTACATTGCCATTGTATTCTGCTCTAGGATATGGCTGATAACTAACTAATTAATTAATTAAATTAAAAAAGAAAAAACTAACATATACCAAACATCATTAGAAAATGAATCATTTTGTTATGTGTCTGATAACAATGAGTTTTCAAATAAACACAATGAAAAAGCGTAAGTCAACATATATTTCAAGTACCTTAGGTGGTCCTCATAAGTTATTATGAAATAATTTAGAACAGTTACAAGTGAAATAAATACAAATTATAAAACAACATATTCTGAGAATGGCTGCAGAAAAGAACAAACAGTTCGTGTCCCGAACACTTATGAAATTCATTTCATCTTGAATCTTGATGTGAATGGAAGGGGAGAGGAGCGGGAAAGGGGAGGGTTGCGGGAGGGAGGGAAGTTGTGGGGGGGAAGCCATTGTAATCCATAAGCTGTACTTTGGAAATTTATATTCATTAAATAAAAGTTAAAAAAAAGATTCATTTCATCTTAAAGAGCATATTCAGTTGAGAGATGCACTGTGTGAGTAGTATTGCTCTATATTAACCTCAAGAGTTTGTTGAGTTCAGCTTCTGGTCTTGAATGTGGACATCAATCCAGTCACAATGTAAATATATCAAGAGGAAGGCATGACATCAAGGAAAATAAGATCAGGAGAGAAAGGTGAGATACATACAGAACTTGTCCAAACAAAATGGGACAAAAAAAATGAAGTGATGAAAGAATGTTCCATTTTCACATGAAAATAAGGAAGAAAAATAATACAACACACTACAACTGGCAAAAGTTAGCTACTTTGTAAGCCAGAAAAATGGTTATGTCCCTGTAGATAGATAACTATTATAGACATATTCATATGACATGAAGACATGTGACCTCTGTTGCAGTTGAACGTATTTACTGATGGAATAAAGATATAAGCCTCAGCCACTGGGCCCATTGCCCAGAAGAGAGATAAAATCAGAATTTATCTGTAGTCCCTAAGTCTCAATCCGATCTCATGCCCTATTGTCTTCACCCCATCCCCATATTCTTCCCCAGGTTCTGAAGGCTGTGCCAAACTTGAAACACCTGTATGGAGGAATTCACCTCTGACTGCTGTCCCTTACCCCCACTCCCACCCCAGCCCATCTAAAATATAAAATAGCCCAGCCCTTGGGGTCGGACCTTCTGCCATGTGTTTAGTCACTATGCACACCAGCGGTTGGTCACCCACCTCTGTGGATTTATTTTCTCTGGATAAATTCGGTCTGGCTGCGAGTTTGTTTTCTGTTTCCTTTCTCTTTTCTGTGTTCTTTTCCTTACATTTGGCACCCCTGGAGGGGGGCAGCACCAATCTGCCCTCTTTCTCTTACATTTACTCTAGAGATTTTTTGTTTTGATTTTTCCCCACTGTCAGTGAATATTTTCATAGCATGTGATTGCTTTTTAAATCTTAAACATCTTTTGAATATACTTTGAAATATAACTTCTTGGTGCCTTCGAATCCTTGTTATTTGGAACTACCATATAAACGAAATGATATATTATATACACTACATGTGCAAGGACAGATCACTTTAAAAATCATGCTTGAAAACTTTGTGTTCTAAAACAAATCTCTGCTGAAGAAGCTTTACTCTTTCTCTTTGTTTTCTGAATATTCAGCCAATTGAACTTAGGAAGGACAAAGTTGACAGAACCAGTTTTCTGAAATGAACTTGAGTTATCGTTGGTAAATATATATCCATTTAAGGAGCTCAGCATTATAGACCACTCATAGAATAAGATACTAAATAGTTAAACGTGATAAAGTAAAATGAATGGCTGCGTGAGGCAACAGAGTTTCATTTTATCTCTTTCTTCATGATAATATCACTTGGAATGTACACACACATTAATATGGCATGTGAATTTATAGGAGAAATCAATTATATTATTAAGTGTACATCCTCCCCTCATAGTAACACTCTAATGTGTGACAGTAGCAGAGAAATGCACCCTAGAGAAAATGCTGCTGTTCTTCACAGAAAAGCCATGAATAACATTATGCAAAAATTAATTTATGACAACTGATTTAAATTTAGAACTCAAAATAACTTATTTAATGCCATCAGAAAAGAATACCTCACCCTTAAAAAGGAGTCTAGGGATCCATTCTCCATGTATTCCACCACAATCATTACTGGTCTGCCTGCAAAAGAGCAAGAGCACACAAGGATTAGAACAATTACCAAAATATGTGTTGCAGTAAGAGATTTCCAGCTGTGGCAGCTAAATTATTTCTATTTTATTATTAGGAACATCATTTTCCAACCTGGTTCTATAGTAGGACTTGTATTATATATATGCATCTTTTTTATAGCATTATTTTCTTTTGAGTTCATAAAAGGGACTTCTAATATGAATTACAAAAGAATTACAAATGATTGAAGCATTTGGTTTCCTTGGTCCTGCAATCACTTGTTCAGATTGTGTTCTTTTTGTCCTCTGACTATTCCTTCAAAGACAATTAACAAGCTAAAGTCAGGGGTTAAGCAGTCACTGTTGATGCTTTTGCAGTTGTGCTACAACACACAAGGCAGTGCAGCAATTTTGGCTGACTTAGGTTAGAGTGGGCACTTTTAAAATATTCCTAAGGCAAAGCAAAAAGGAGAAATTCATAAATTCTCCTTAAGAAATTGTAAACCATCAGTCATGGTCTTTTTAAGGACTTTTAACTGAAGAAATTTAAATAGATTGATGATGCTACAAAGTTGGTAGGATTTGTAATAGTTCTCAATCATCTCTTCTTGGACATAGATTTGATCAACAGAGCAATGATGGCACTACATGAAAAATAAGTAACTATTGTATTTTGGTCTAGTGCAGTAGCTGGGATCAGAAACTGAACATTTACTTTTTTTTTTTTTACTACATCTATAGTTACAGTTCCAATATACCTCTATTAGGTAGTATATTTGACATAAATAACTTCGATTTGTTTCAAGGAAGATAATGCATTAGTTCTGCTCACTTGCCCAATTTTAAAAGATAAACTCATTTCAGAGGAAGGGAAAATGATATTTACCTGAAATAAGCCTGTATGGCATATTTATTTACTTTTTACTTCCATATTTCTTGTTTCTCATTGGAATTTTTAGCAATTTAGTGTGTGCTATGTGCTGTTTTTCCTTATGAACACAAAGAAGATCTTGAAAGAATCTGTGTGTATCAGTGACCAAAATATTAGATCTCATTGTAATTCACATCCCTTTTATGAACTCAAAGCCTTGCAGCTTAGAAAGAGTGACCATCACAAATTAGTACAACGTATGCAAAATGCTAGACTTTACAGCTGAATCTGTATTTTAAAGAATGATGTGCCAAAGGTTAAGTGTAGTAATAAAGTACCTAATTTCTTATGCATAGAATTAGAACCCAGAGAAGCTTCCCATTTGCAGTGAATATTAACTTATATTCTAGGTCACTCCAAGTCATTAATTTTATCCAAATATGAAGAATTTTATCAGCAATTATTGAGGTCAAATGAACTGTCAGAACTCTTGTGGGCACTGATCTAGAAGATCCAGGTTTTAACCTGGAAATAGATCATGAAACCTTTCATGTCATTGGTTTCATTCAGTTTGGAGATAAAACTGATGCAAACAGTTATGAAACAAGGTAGGGAAATTGAAGGTTTTTTTTGTATCTAAATATAAAGATTCTTACATAAACATTCCAGTTTGAAGGAGAATGGATTATGGATGTTAAGGGGCAAATGTTTAGTTCCTACAATGATTGTTGCCTGAATTTTTCTCTTACTGGTAGCTTCACAGCTTTTAATCTGTCTTGACCAATATATTGATAAAGAACATTTGAAAGCTTTCATTTTGTTTCTTTAACATTTATCTTCCTCCTAAGAATGCTGCACTTACCATAATGAAAAGAGCTCACAAGAATTTCATTTGTATGGCTATGTACCACTATTATTTTATACACATAAGAAAATTAAGAATAGAAAATTAAATTACTTGTCCAAATTCAAATAGCCATAGTGGCACTATTTCAGGTAGTCCGTGTCAGAGCTTTGAATCTTAACCTTTATGCTACAGGCAGCTCTAAAACAGTATTTATCAATGAAAGCTCTAAGTCTCCTCCTGTTAGCCAATCCTCTTCAATGGTGGACCTCATCTTTCCTAATTAGCCTAATGCGCCACCAGTTGTCATGATGGCTTCCACTTGGTCCGTCCTGACTCCTTCTGCCTTTACTCTGTGTAATCACCTGCTGGAATTACTTGCTAATTTGCTTCTCTCACTAATCCCACTGTCCATGCCCCTCCATCCCAGTTTTCACACTGCACCTTTTCCTTGAAAGTCTCCTACAAGTGATATGCTCGACAGCTTCATTCCTATCCTATCTGTGGTAGGTGGTATGAACTCCTGTGTCTGGTTTTATTTTAGCTTGCTTTTCTTTCTTTTCCTCCTGTAGATGCTTTGTATCCCCTTCACTGTGTTTCTCAAGGTCACTTCCCATAGAACTAAGCATAGTAGGTGCTTCATAAAAACAAGTTATCAGTTTCTAAATTTTGAGAACCGTAACACTGAAGTATTTCAGTAAGATCCTAACCTATGTGAATACAAAGTACTTTAAAATTAGTTCTGTCCACAGTCTAACTCATTGGGAGATACTTTAGGCAGTCTTAAAAAATCATCAGTGATGAGTTTTAACTTTCTCATTAAGACTAATAAAAGAATAAAATGAAGGCTCCCCTATATTGTGAATTTGAAATTTCACATTTGATTTCATTTTTCATATTTTGAGCAGCTGCATTAACTGAGAGCAGCTGTTAATTCAACTTGGTTGTTTTTTAGACTATTGATAGTACCTAACCTGTAATTTGGTTCCTTAGTGGTTTTCTTTAGGGAAGTTAGTAATACTGTGAAGATTATGAGCAACTTTATATTCCAATAGTACACTGTATAATAAAGAAGACAGATATGTATAATTTAGATAAATATGAATGAAAATTTAGATGGCATGTTTTTAAGATTTATTTTATTTGAAAGGCAGAGTTACAGAGAGGGTGAGAGAGAGGGACGGAGGGAGTGAGAGAGAGAGATAGAGAAAGGGAGAGAGAGAATCTTCTATCCACTGGTTTACATCCCAAATGGCTGCAATGGCCAGAGTTGGGACAATCCAAAGCCTGGCTGGACCAAAGCTGGGAGCTCCATCCTGGTCTTCCACATGGGTGGCGGGGATTCAAGCACTTGAGCCATTTCCTGCTGCTTTCCCAGGCACATTAGCAGGGAGCTGGGTCAAAAGTGGAGTAGCCAGGACTCCAACCTGCCATGGATAGCATGATGCAGGCAGTAACTTCACCGAGTAAGTCACAATGCTGTTTCTTTAAATCTATTTTAGGCGAGAGAGGTCTATTGATAGAACTGCTTTTTCTGTTTTATTTTCCATTATATAAAAATTTCATATTTCATTATTGCTCTGGTAAAGTACATTTGGAAAATTTATTCTGTTTCTAATTTTTAAAAATATTGCAGCTTGTTTCCTTTTATGCAATTTTAGTCAGTCATTGCACATGCCTACACAATCACCTTAGTATTTGAATTGTACTAACATCTGTGGATCTATTCCAGGATCCTTGAATGTTAGTGAATCCTCAGAATCCCAGGTCTTTTTAGAAGTCTTAGTGGTTTTGTTTTCAGAGATCTTTAAAGATAATTCTACAAGTTGCATAAGGTGAATTTTCTTCATAAGTAGCCCAGAAATGCTTATGGATATTTTAAACTATATTAGAATCAACATTCTCAAATAAGCCACTTATTTATATTTCAGACAATGAATCATGAAATTCCTTATTATTCTTTTATGTTATAGAGAAGAGTATCTTCTTTCATTGGGATTTTTAGGAATTACTGGCTCAGATCTACTTTTGAAACACTTCCCAATACTAATGATGATTTTGCTAAATGTAGTATGGAGGCACTATATGATCATAAGACTATATTTATGCTGCTATTGAAGAAATAAAAAGAAAGGCATTCTTTAAGTATCTCATAGAAACTTTACAAAACAATATTTATCTCACAAAACAGTTTTTCTTTTTTTTTTTTTGTCTTTGCCTCGGAGAACCTTTCAAAGAAGGGAATTACAGAGATTTAGCTTTTTCATGTAAGTAATGAGCTTTTGCTGGGTGTAGTAGTTTTGTCAGTTTTGCAATTTCTAATGTGCAGGCAGTAAATCAAGAATCAAAACGAATCTCAAGAACCTCAAAACTCTATTACAGATTTAAATCATTCCAGTTTATTTAACATTCTATCACATCTATGTTTTGTCTACCTGATAATAAAAATTGTGGTGATAACCTGGATTGGCAGTTAGAGTGCCTGTATTTTTCTCGCTAGATGGAATTCAAGACTCTGAGCCAGTAATTTAATCTATTTCTACCTCCCTTGTTTCTGCTGTGGAGATAGTGAATTACAATTATAGTCTCAAATGAAATTGATAATAAACGAAATAATTTTCTTGTCCCTCTAAGGCATTCAAAAGATATGGATAACATAAATTTGGACACAGTTAATATATTATATCATTGTTTTTATTCACATGATAAGTATTAAAGCTGGAAAATTATTTTCTCTTATGTTATTGTCTTGTTATTTTCAGATCATATCCTAAACATATTTTATTCTCAGCGAGTTTGAATCTGAACTTTTAACATTTCTCTGGCACTTTTTCTTCCTGTCCTAATTCTTTCTTAATTAAAACATCACCACCCTTCTAGTTACCAGGGTCTGATAACCCATTGTAATCCTAAACTCATTTTATCAAATCTTTGTTTATCGGATATTATGTTAATTATATACAAAATTCATTGTCATGGCCTGCATTCACTTGCTAGACCAATTACAAAATGCTTTATCACTTTCCTTGTTTCTATTTTTGTCCATATTGCTAGCAGATCATTGTACCAACATTATATTTGAATATTTAGTGATACATCATATAATTTTTGAAAAAAAAAATGCCCAACATGAATCAAATAACTCTTCTGAGAGTTGGAGACACATCGTTAACCGATACAAAATCCCTGCTCTCATGTCTGTGTAGTGGAAAAGGCAATAGAAATAATTCAACAGTCAATTGCTGAAAAGGACTAATGCCTCAAAACTCTATTTTAGGATTGTTACTTAAAGCAT